ACATGATGTCCAACAGTTTGGTGTTCTACTTCATCCAAAGAAACAGTGGTCCATACAGTTGCTAGAGGATACCTACCATAGTATTAGAAAATTTAATTGTAGGGATGCTGAGATAGAATCCTTCTCTATCTGCACTACTAATGTACTTATCACTGTAGTGCATAGGCAGCAGTTATAAAACTGAAAATCTTATGACTTCTGTGTAAAGGAGATACAGATTATTCTTTTAAAGTACATTAAAAAGTTTATTAAATTAAGAAACACATTCTTTCCACATCTTTATTTGTTTAGTTCCAATTTAATTGGTTTTGTCTTCCCTTTCTGTTTGAACACTTGTTCCTCTGAAAGATTGAAAAGACTAGCCCTTTTGCCTGTATTTTAAAAACAGTTTCAAAATCAAATCTATTCTGCAGAAATTGCATTTGCAGGGAGTCAAGGACAAAGCATTTTAACCACGATGCTTTTAAAGAAATCACTTCTAATTACACATGCAAGCACATCTGCTGAATATGAAGGTGTAGTTACATAACTGATTATGATGAAAATTGAGTTGTATGCTCAGAGATGATTACCCCTCTAGTCCACTCAGAATGGTCTGTTTTCTTATTTATGCAGATAAAATTGTAAATTCTTTGCTATTAAGCACAATCTTTTGAAAATTAGAAGTAAATGCAATTGACAGTTTTTACAAATGTAAATCTTAAGGAAGAAAGAGAATGAGCATCATATATGGTGCATGCTCTGACCTTATTGTCAGGGAACACTTGATACATAACATTATAAAGAACAATGTTGATTCTATCCATTTATTCAGGAATTTTAGAAATATGTGGTGTTTGCTTCATTGCATAAAATGGCTTGCAAGGTATATTGTTACCTGGTAGCACCTTTGACATACTGTGGGATAAATATGTACCCTTGACAATTCTTAAATCAGATAATTTTTAATAATCTGTGGCTTATCCCGCCACTGTTTGCTCAGGCCAAATTGCCATTCCTGAAATGAGGATTGCAATGGGAGCTTTATCTCAGAAAGGAGTAGAGGATTAAACCTCAAAATTATCAAATTCATAAGATATTGGTAAACATTATAAAACATATGTCATTTACCTGATAAACTAAAATGGATTTAAACTGGGTGATTATATATGATACTTAGATGTGTTATTAAAAAGGAGTCATTTAGCTAATAAAATGCTATTACATAATGGAAATGTCTATGAAAGCCCTTCAAATAATATTGGCTATGTGTTGAGTGGTCAGTTTTTAATCAACACCAAAACTAGTTGGATCAGTTCAACATTTAAAACTTTCCCAATGCTTCTTGGTATTTAGATGTATTCTGATGAATGTGTGATGATACTGCTGAAACTCGAAATGGCTTTCCTACTATGTGTTGTGTATAGAGAGAGACTTAAGCTTGTTGTCTCTTTCTTGTGTTTTAGCAGATACATGTAACTGCTACCAATATTCTTCTCTTTTTTTTTTTAGTTAAAGCAGTTATTGTAATACGCAAAGTGCCCAGTTCGGCACTCCTTTCTCGGGCAAAATTCCCATTGAAGTTAAAGCTTTTGAAATTAGTGGCTAATTCTATTCCTTCCTTGCCCTACTACAGCATTACAACTTAAAAACTGCATAAACATATTTCAAAGAAAATAAAATCTGTGTTCAAGTCTTGAGAACCTATATATAACCTTTCAGTCTGGAACAACATTTTAGTGGAATCTTATATCCCAGCACGTTGGGGGCTATAATTGAAATCCTGTCAGATTCTTATGCAGTCTTACAATGTAAACAACAAAAATGCAGCTGTTCTACATAACATCATAGGTATTTGTTAAGCAGTAGAATCTCTTCTGTCAAGAAAGTAGTATTATTTATATTTGAAAAATGGTTCGAGAGGTTTATAGTTAGCTCCATGTTTTTACACAGATTGGATGTTGCTAGGGAAAAGAAAGTCTCCAGTTATGGTCATTTCAGCTCTGTAGCAGTATATCATGTTCATTGTTTGTTCCACAAGTAACAAAATTTCAGAATCATAACAATGTGACTTGTACCCAACTTTATTGCCATTCCATCAATCAGCACAACTGTAGTTAAAAGGTTATTTAAGCATTTGAGAGACATGAAGTTATGTGAGCAATATTTCTAGAATACAAAGGCAAAATGAACAACAGTGTTCTACTGTTGCTTGAAATATGTTTTAACAAATGTAATTTTCTTTCAACAATGGGCATGCTTAAATCAGTCTTCATTTCCTGGATAATCAACTGTCATGCTTGTCTCTGAACAGATAAAGGAGCATATTCATGTGGTTAGAAATAGCAGCCGTTTGTTCCCAGTCACTAGGGGTCTTTCTCAAAAATTACCACTGCCAGGGTAACCTTAAAGAAATTCTACTGCATCAAAACAAGAAGGGTTGCATGTCATCCATTATACTGGGTGATGACAATAGTAGAGCCTCTCTTCACTTGTGTCTAATGGATATGCTTCAGGGTCAGGAAAAGGAGGCACTGGCTCTTCAACAACAGTGGTTAGCACAAGGACAGAGAGGAATGAGGTAGACCAGCCGTTACATGCCCCTATCTCATGACCCACCCTTCTAAAAATATTTCAGAATGGACCTTCCCCTAAAAAAGATTTTACAGTCTAACTCCTTAAAATGAACTACTTAGGTTGGAGAGTGAAATGTCTGCATTTTTCCTTAGCAGTCAAGAACACAGATTGGGTCAAGTGGTTTAAAATTAATCCCCATAATACTTTGCTGTTTTTAAACTCCTCCCACCTTTGCCCCCTTTCCCATATTTTTCCTTCCTTCTCCTCCCCCCGCCCCCAAAAAGAAAACCCGACAGCACCAAATGGGTGGGGGATAAGGATTCCATTTTCAACCTAATCTCCACCTGTGGACTAAACTCCTTTAACTTTGTTTGTGGGTTCAGGATTCAATTTATTGTAAGAATACTGCAAATAAGTAATTTTTCATTACTTTACTTAATTTTCCTCATACATTTAAACTAAGGTTCCTCACAACAGTGTCATGACATTGTCAGTGCCAGGCTATAGAGACAACATGACTGTGAAAAAATATGGAAAAATGAAAGCCTCAGTGAGAAAATTTACAGATGTTGATGGATTTATTTACTGTATCTCAGGAATTCAGTACAAGTCTATAGAGTCAACAGACCAAAGATCGAATGCAGTTTTTTTGAGCTTGCTACTGCACTGTAGTGCAAATCCCAAGTGCAGAACTCTGCCTGAGTAACTGGACTGCACTCTGGACAGTTTTGTGAAGGCCAAAAAATTTTTCTCAATAAACGAGGCACACAGTGGTGCATGCAGAAATATACGTCTAAGTTGCACCCATGGTTCCTGTGGCATCATGCATAAATTCAGAATTGCTAAACATAGCTTGCCCTTTGTTCATGCCAGTATCCAATTTTTGTGTGTGCAGTCTCTATAATTACTTACTCAACTTACATGTACACATTTTTGTGCATAACTCTTTGAAAATCAAACTCTGTATCCATAGATTGTCTTCTTCCATCCATGTTGTAATGTACTGTCAAGGGCATGTGCAGAAATCTGTATATCCCATCATTCCACTGCCACACAATTGACTTCTTGCTACAGAACTGTGCTACAGAATCTCAGCTTTGTTAAAATGATGTTTTAGCCATTATGGCTGTAGAGAGAACCTTGAAAATGTGAACCAAAGCTAAACTGATACAGTAGTGCTTTCCTACATCTATAGGAAATCTAAAACAAAAGTGCTGAGAGGTGAATGACTGTGCATCTCAGTCACGGCTCTATGGCCTCCATGATTCTGCAGCTACAGAATTCATTTTTTTCCAAAATGGCACAAAATTCAATTTTTTTGCTATGGAATTTACCATATTGCCATTTTTCTGTAGTTCTGCCTTGCTCAGACTGGCCTGCAGCTGCTGCTTTCTCTTCAGCCTTCCCCACAAGGTCGAGTTAATAAGCAGTATATGCTCCCTGTATTGTTCCATGGAGCCAGTGCAAGAGTTTGGATTCTAGCCAGGGTGTGTGAGAGGCAGAAGTGTAAGCCAAGTGGAGAATAGCAGAGCAGCCCAGTCTTGAGGAGCTGGGGAGATGAGTTAGTGACGACAGCTGCAAAGCTCACCATCCCCTCTCCACCCCCTCCACCGCCAGATGCACAGGGACAAAAGGAGGGCCAAGGTCCAGGATGTGGAGTCAGGCTTCCGGGCAAGCTTAGCAAAAAAACTATGCTCAAAAGTAATTGTCTATTATTTGAAAATATTCACTGATGTAAAATTATGAGCCATAGTTGTGTGTATTTGTGTGGGAAATGGGAATGGATAGTATTTCATGTCGGTAGACTAAATTAATGTTGCCAGGGAAGTTAGGGAATGGAATACAGAGGTTGCTCCTGCAGAATTTGATCCCATTGTGCCTCTGAGTACCCAAGGGGGTATGTGTGTGTGTGTGTGCTGGATGGATTGTCAGCACTGCCTGAAAGTGTGTTTCCCTTTAGAAGCTAGTCTGTAGAGGAAATGGGCCCTAACGCTAATACAACTAGTGGAGATTCTCTTTTCGTTCAAGTGCTAGAGGCATTTGTTCTTGAAGAAAAAGGGCCTGACCTTTATCTGTGAAGCCACAGAAAGTGTAATAGGTGATGACTGTGAAATCCTATGTGCCGAGACGTACAAGGGATTTACATGGATAATTCTTGTTAGAGTTAACAAGAGTTCTATACTTAAACCTCATGTTCCTTCATGGGAGAACAGATCCCTTTGTGTAGTGCAGTAGCTAGCACAGTGGAGCTGCATTAAAGATACTATTAACTCCCTAAACTCAATTTTCTGGCTTTTATAGGTGCCCTTTAAATAGTTACTTTTAACAAATGTTTTTGTTCGGTTTAATTGTAGATTGTTTTATATTCTAGCAATGCATTGAGGCATGTATTTGTTTAACTGTAACTGACTTTGATTTTTACTTTGTTCTGGTTTATTCAACAGGGTGGGCTAAGTGCCCAAGCTTTTGTTCGTATTGAGATAGAGGACATTAACGATAATCAACCTATTTTCGACCCAGCCAGCTATGTGACAAGCATCAGTAGTCATACGCACCCAGGAACAGAGATCATCAATGTCGTTGCCACAGACAGAGATTCGGGGATATATGGAGTTGTGACATATGAGCTTGTTCCAGGAGAGTTTTCTTCCCTTTTCACAGTGGATACTTCTTCAGGTACAGTATGTGTGTGTGACACAGAAATTATAAGACACACCATGTCACACTTTTTCTTTGAAACTTGGTTTCTTTGTTTAAAATCAAGTCATAAAATCAAAACTTACATCCTGTGGCATATGTGCAAGATACTTTCTTTGTTTTTTGTTTTTGTTTTTTGTGAGCAAATGTTAAATGACCTTTGCATCTACTGGAATAAATAGAGCTCTAGAATGTATGTCACAGAAAGTGGAATGAGAAGTAGCTGATGTCATTTCTCTAGCATTTTAAATTGGAAACTAGAGCATTTTGGCCATGCATTAGTTGTGCACTAATAATTACTTTATACAGTATGTTAATGCTTAGAACACTAAAGACTTATCCTAAGTGCTTTTTCTTGAGGGACAGTTAGTCTCTCTCCCTCCTCACCAACAAGGAACCTCTTCTTCTAGATGTTTGCTCCCTCCAGGACTTCTATCAAATAAGACCCTTCCTTATAACCTTCCAGAGTGTGCCACAACAAATTTCTCAGCATGCTGGCAGTCTCATGCTACCCACCAGTCTCTCTCACTTCTAGTTCTACCTCTCTGCTTGACTCCACTGTCAGCTTCATGAGTATCCTTTCGTGCTCCTTACTTCCTGACCTGACCTTCTCCCCAATTCTGACTTCTGGCTTGAGGGAGAGGTCTGGATCCCATACCTGGGCCCTGAGTCACACTAGGAGTGTAAGCCAAGGCAAGAAGGCATTCTTGATAGGGTCAAAGCAAGTCAGGATGAACTACTTCTAAGAGTCTTTAATGCACCTTGCCGTCACAGAAGTCGCTCTTTTACCACTGCCAAAAAGGCAGACCCTGATGGTTTTTTTGTAATCCTGGGAAATTTGGTGCCTATTGAATTAAATACCAGGGGCATAACCAATGCCTAAAGTATACCAGATGTTCAATATTTGGCTTTTAATATTTGGAAACTAAACCAGACTACAGTTCAACTTAAAATCTAGTATACATACACTACCAGGAATATAGCCTGATAGACAGTATTATTTCCTGATAGTCCGCCATTTAAGATTAATTAACTTTGACATAGGGGATTATTTCATATGTTTTAATAATTTTGCTCTGTGTGTGTGTGTGTGTGTGTGTGTGTGTGTGTGTGTGTATTAGCTGTTTGGCATGGAAATCATCATAAGGAAATACTCTGTTCTCTCAAAATGATGCCTATTTGCATCCTGTGACCTAACACCTAAAATATTCTGATGAACAGAAGAAACTAATCTTCTTAGGAAGTTGGCCCGCTTATCTTGGCTATTTCATAATTTACTTTTACCATGGACCTTAACTGCCTGTCAAATCAGTCCCTCTAGGGCATAACTGATGCCAAAAAATATATAGGTCAATCAATAATCAGGGAACTGGATCTCCACAATCATTTAACCGATTGTTTCAAAACTGCATCAGTGGCTTGTCAGAGAGAGCCCCGGTAGGTTACTCAAGAAGAACTGGCTTTACAGTATGCCTTTCTTTAAAGGGTTCTTCTCCCTTGAATTGTGGCCCTTTAGCCTCATTTTTCCAGTTTGGGTGATTTGTATAAGGTAAATGTCATCTTTAATCATGAGGAACACTTGAGACATCAGTATCTTGTGGAACTATCATGGTATTTTATCAAACAGAGATCAAATTAATAATGAAATAACCTGAGGTCATTATTGCTGGCACTTATAAATGAAAAACCATTTGGGTTGAAGACACTATTCCCAACCTTATAGCACTTGGATTCTGATTGCATATAATCAGATCTCATGGGTAATTCATGAGATCTGGCTGTGTTTTATTTTAACCTATTAATATTAATGCTAATGTGTCCTTTTTGGTAAAGGGTACCCTTTTTCCTTTTTTTCATGTCTAGCTGCAGCAGTGTGTATAATTAATTAATGGTGAGCTGAAATTGTTTCTAAACTGTTGGTGATATCTAAGTGACAATAGCCCTTGTAACTGTTAGACTACTCCCCAGAAGTTCTGCAATCTCCCTGGGTTAAGTAGCTATGGAAGTTGATCAGTATGAAGAATTGGAAGCAAATTTTATGGCTTGTTCTGTGACAGCACAGAGACTGAGTTCCTCCTCTTCCTCATTTTCTAAGAGGCAGGAAGATGACCAGTTGCCATTTAGGATTTTCCCTTTCTGTAAGAATCTCTTCTCTGCTTCTGATATTGGGGGGATTCACTGAGAACACCAGGTTTCAGAGTAACAGCCGTGTTAGTCTGTATTCGCAAAAAGAAAAGGAGTACTTGTGGCACCTTAGAGACTAACCAATTTATTTGAGCATGAGCTTTCGTGAGCTACAGTGATGAAGTGAGCTGTAGCTCACGAAAGCTCATGCTCAAATAAATTGGTTAGTCTCTAAGGTGCCACAAGTACTCCTTTTCTTTTTGAGAACACCAGGTGTCCCTGCTGCTGTTCTCTCAAGAGATTGTAAGGAGACTTACTCCAGCTGTCATGTGGATTGCATTGGCCCAGTTTCATGGGGAGAAGATGATGTATAGAGACTATCAGAAATAGAAATTGTATAGTGAGAACAGGTGGGCTGCAAACTTCTATAATCTCTCCTCTCTCATGAGCTATTTGAAAACATACTCCAGGGAGGTCATTTTTGAAGCCTTCACTGTGGACTTTCCCTTGAAACCACCATCTGTGGATTGTACGTTATACAATATTGTGAATTTGTGCCATGGCAAGTCCCATCTCTTTTGCTATTTTCCACTTGCAAAGAAGGGATTAGGGAGATGACAATGTGGTATGGGTATAGTCATGGAGGTTGGAGTTAGAAGCTGCATGTGGATTTATTTTACAATTCAATTTCTTAATTTCTAAGCGATAACTGTAATTGTTGGAAATGTGTTCAGGGCTCAGGCAAGATAGTTAGTTAATTGAGTCTTTTTGACTTATTTTGTTAGTCCTTAAGTAGTTTGGCTTCCTTTGATATGTACATGGGACAGACAATGGTATTTTCAGTTTTAGGAAAAGACATTACAAAAAACGCATTTTTTACTAGCTGAGAATGATAGTAGTATAACAAAACTCATGTACCAGATGAAGCTATTCTCCAGGCCAAGTGAGATTTTTATTTTACAGTGTCCAGAATGTATGTTTTTGTGTATTGTTGTAGCTCAGCTCAGGGGCAGTCGCAAATTGCTATATTCAGGATTTATAGCACTCACCAAAAAAAATAAAATTTTCTTTCCATTTTCTGAATAAAAAAAGAAACGGATAAGGGAATTAACAACAACAACAAAAAACCCAACAACAAAAACCTGCTTGTTGAATATCACTTCCTGCCAACTATGGCTTTGCCAAGAAAATTATATGACTGTATTACCAAAACTGTAAGTTTTGCACAGCAAGCGAACTGTGTTCACAGTAAGAAATCTTCATGATCTGTTGGTCGTAGCAGTTGGTCAGCAACAGGACATTTAAAAATAAACAACCACTTTTGACATCTAGATATTGAGGTTGGGCCTGATCCAAAACCTATTGAAGTCAATGGGAAAACTGCCATTTATTTCAGTGGGCTCTGGTTCAGGTTCATTGTGTGACTCTTTTAGATCAGTTCAATGGAAAAAAGAGCTTTTCATTGAACGGACGGACACAGATACATATTCCAGTACAAGGATTAGTGGAATTTTAAAAGACAGGATTAGTGGCATTTATGTGCTTTTTTATTTTTTAGATTCTCCATCATTTAGAATATTCTTTTAGAAACTTGTAAATTACATTTATTGTACTTCTCTGTATGTAGATATTAGGATTAGCCATTTTTCATTTGGCTGAAGGTGGATTGTTCCAAAAGTAAATAATTTGAAGATTGCATGTAGCTAGAAAACCATTTTGGTGTGTGATTGGTTCCTAGTTCTATGCTCTATGCCTATTTTATTACCATTTATTTCTATTGGTGGCGCAAAATCCACCTTGGTTCACTTTTATGTTTTACTTTCCTGGGTACCTGCATGATCCATGTTATATATGCCAGTGGTTCTCAAACTTATTTTTTTGCGGACCACTTAATGATCTTCCCAAATGTTATTTGTACCGTTAGCTAACTTATTGTGAAGCGCTTTGGATAAAAGCGCTATATAAAAAAAACAATAATAAACAACTTTTTTGTTTTACAAATAAAAGCACACAACTCATATTTTAATATCAGTAGTCTTCCCTTTCTAATGCGATGGATGTGCCCTTTCTCCCCCACTGCAGCAGCCCCCAAGCTGGGGCTGGGAAGGAGGGGGGTCTCTCCGTATCTCCCCCACTGCGGCAGCCCCTGAGCTGGGTCTGGGAAGGAGTGGGGTCTCGCCCCAGCAGCCGCAGCCCCGGAGCTGGAGAAAGTCGCCTCTTTCTCTGGCCACCGCAGCTCTGCATGATCCAAATCCCCCACCCCCTCTTCTCACCTCACCTTACATATGCGTCTTCTCCAGGGACAAGGCACCTAAGTAGTGGAGCCACGCCTAATTAGGTGGCTGGGTAATTAGGTGGGTGGCCCTTCGTTCTCCTGTACGCACCTTAGAGGGAACTATCTGCGGACCACCTGACTGGAGCTCGGACCACAGTTTGAGAACCTCTGATCTATGCTATCTGCTCTGTGAACAGCGTTGGTTAATTGCCTGGAGCAGAGCATACTGAAGAGCTATGCAGGCTAGTATGTTGTTTAAGCTATATTTATCTGTTTTCCCCATTAATGGTTAACAATACTTTACCTGAAGTTGTCATGCTGTCTGGAGTGACTCACTGCTGTGAGTGCCAATCTCAGGTCAGCCTGTCAGAAAACAGCACAGAGGCCCAAACTGGTGGTATGTTCTCCAATTAGATTTAATCAAGGCAGTAACAAATGTGCATTCCTGGATAACTATACCAACTTTATCATGAAGTCCAGACAGTCCCCTTAGGCTCTCCATCTTGCCATGCAGACAAACTGGACTTAGTGATAATGGTCACACAAACCAAAAATCACACCACATCAGATTGTTCCCAGT